TGTAGGTTATGTTGTACTTACAATCTGATAATGTTAATTTTATGGTCGCTATAAATAAATAATAAACGCAGCGCGCGCGGGCAACTTAATTCAATGTTATTTCACTTATGTAATAAATATTCTGTACCTTGAGACTTGAGCTTTGAGCCTACAACTATTAAGGCTCGGGCACATCGTCGAATTTCACCTCAAAAATTAACAATAATCTCTTAATGATAGTACTTTATACATTATTTTTACCTTTAATAAATATTTAGATTCTGTTATTTTACAAAGGCGATGTACTTATTTTCTAATCCTCTAAAACATATTATAGGCGAATTCGTTATAAGAAAGCTTCATAAAAAAAACCAACACAATATACTACTTATTGAAGCCATTTTAAGGAGCCTAAATATGATATCGTGACGTTGCAGCATCAGGCCAAAGTTATCATATCGTTGTAATGTCATTGAAGTAACGGGATATCAAGTTTCGAATGGATTAGATCTGTGGAAGCTGCTCATATATTTTCACCGACTAGAAAAAAGCTGATAGCCTGCTAATGGCTGAACTCTCGATTAAGTCACCTTTTAAACAAAAGAAAACATAAATAAATAAATAAACATTTGCATCGGGGGTAAAACGGGATAGATGAAATGGTCGAAGTGTATTATGTAATCCTTATAATAGGTAGGTACTCTATCTTATTGTGAAAATTGAGCAATGTGCAACAGTATTTATTTTTTTCTGAACGATTATTATACAAATACTTTTACATAATTTTATAGCTAAAATTTGTACACAAAAAATATTCATGCTATCCAACAATTTGTTATTAAATCTCACTGCAGTAAACATTCGTAGTTAATCTGTACACGTCTTAAGACACTTAAGAAGTGCACTTTTATGCGCAGCGATGGCCTCGGGCGCCGCCGATAGTTTTCGATTATGCCTCTACATGGAATATGCTGATACGACATTAACGAGCGTCTCACAGGTAGCTCTAGGTTTTTTTGCTTTGGTTATTTTGTGCTCGCCGCTACGAACAATTTTAAATTGTATTTCGTAGAATTATTTACATTTTATATATGTACCTAACTATTACGACTTAACTTTGCTGCACTCGTGCCTAGATACCTAACAATAACCTATGTTACTCTAAGTAATAATCTGTGTACTGAATTTCATCTAAATCCCTCCAGCCGTTCCAGCGTGAATAAGCAAACATAAACATACGTACCTTCCGATAGTAGTCTGTTATCTGATTTCTTATTTATGAAGGTATTATATAAAAACTACTCTTCGGCCTCAGGTATTGGGGGAAAATGACGTCAAATGGACGGCACAAGTTTAGTATATGGGACGCGGCCTCTGGCGGAGTGGGTGGTATTTTTGGATAGGGGAGGTGACAGAGAGTCAAAATATATAAAATTTTGAGGAAACGTAGGAGTAAAATGTTATTGAGACTTAAAGTTACAACATATCTAATACATTTCCATATATTTCATTACCTAAATAAGTGATTACAAAAGATAAACGTACCTTTAACGAATAGTAAACATCCTTTTTTTATGTACAATACATATTTCCACAACAATTAAGGCTTTATTGTATTTAATTTTTTAATAATTTCACAACAGTACCGAGCGCAAACCTATATTCAATAGCTAGTTAATAAAAAGCATAAAAATTTCTAATTTTCATACAACGAAGCTCATTTGTCTACATTGCGAGCGCAGTATAAATAAAAGCTGAGCGCGGCGCGCAATGTATGCAGGCTGGATCGCAAGCGCACTGGATCGATATGATAGGTACCAATGATGTATTTTATTTAGTTCATAATAGCTTGTGACGACTAATGGAACTTGCAGTGCGGCGTCGGAGGAATTTGTGCTCAGTGCATAGATAAACGATCTTAGCACTGAGGAATGAACTTTTATTATCTTTTTATTCTCAAACGTCTACCTGTATTGCAGTTAGACTGTAAAATTTACATAAAGTGATACTACTAAAAGCTTCCAAATAAAGCTCACACCTACTGCTATAGAATTCAATAAAAATCGAATTAAATTAAACATATTATTACAACAAGTCTCAATCGTAGCATTAATTTATTTACATTTAAACTCATCTTCTATTATGGCACTTTAACTCCCGTTGCGAGCTTATCTTCTGGATAGAATATATTTTAAAATAGCTACACCTATAGCCTAGTAATTTAAGTAATAACAACAAAAAACCTATGAATATTAACACTAAAAATAAACATGTCCTCGCATACGGAATGTGCACTGCGAGCGGCAGATAGGGATCGAGTCGAGCGAAAGGGGTGACTTACAATAATAACACCGCACATGCAATATGCAATGCGCACAAAACGAGCCGGAGATCGTTCATCACGTGATTATTCCGCCGGTTTGTTGCTTTCGATTTTTATTTGCAAAAGTAAATTAGCTTTACACGCAGTCAGCATTGTAGGAGCTTACTTTAGCTATATCAAAAGGAACTTGTATGTAGAAACTGTCCGCGATTGAGTAGGAGTCTTTTCTGATTGAACAAATTGATAATAAAACTTTATTTTTAATCTTCAGAGCCAACTTGACTGACGGCTGATATATAATCACTCAAGTACATATTTGTCTGTGATTATTTTAACATTCGCATCCATTATACATTTTACTATTTATCATCTTAACTCTTAAGTAAAACTCATAGTTTTGTCCATTACATAAATATTAAGTAACTATGGCAGGCTTTTCCAGACCGGACCAGGATGACTAGATATAGATCAAAGGCGCAGCGTCCAACGTATCATTTAGCCCCAAGTCATTTGGTGCGACGCGCACTCGCAATCTATTATTCGTGAGCGAGCGCGGCCGGGGGGCAAGCCTTACTTGTCAAGCATGACAGAGTTGAGCGACCGAATATTAAAATTTACTAGATATACATATTAGTAGGTATATCGAGTTGTGTGAACGTCATGTTTAGAATTTCGATAATGAATTCTGAAATTTTATTTAATTTAATTGTTTTATTATAGCCCAGTGATATGGGCTTGCTTGGGAATACGAGTGAAGCGGGTTCAAATCTCGGGTGTAACATTTCTGCATATCTTCATAGCATATCTTCATATGCGAATCATTTCCAATATGGTTACCACGTGTCTTTACGGTGAAGGAAAACATTGTGAGGAAACCAGTATGTCTGTGAGAACCTAGCAAGTTTTCGAAAGACCTATGAAGTCCGCCAACCCGCACTTGACCAGTGGTGGACTATGACCTGATCACCCTCGTATTGAAGGGCGTCCCCAGGAATGGGACGTTAAAGAAGGCTGAATAGTATACATTGTAAACGTTGTACCTCTTTAGATGAGGAGGGACACTTAATTAGTATTTATTTATTTAATTGTTTTGCAGCTTATAGAATCACTTTTTAAATATACCTAATTATTATAATTAAGATAAATCTTTAAGTAACGTAACGTACAATTTACATATTTAACGTAACAAATATAAAATAATTTATAATAATATCTTATTTTTTATGAATTAATTTGCAATAATAATGTTGGATATAATTAGTATTATTATGCAAGAATGCGATCAATAAATAAGTATTTACTCTTACTTATACTAAAGAAAAAAAACTTAATATTTTAAGATAATATAAATAATAAATATTCATAAGTATGAACAGTAAGTAATTCTAAGCTGAAGAAGCACAATATAGTATATACGGTCGAATCAGGCATACGTCACGGGAGCAACGACGCGTGACTCGACGTAGCGATTATAAATACTTGTGTACGGTTATCTAACGGCAGCGCGCGGTGCAGTGGGTCACAAAAACGAAATGAAATACATTACTTAAAAGATTACACACAGCGCCCTTAATTATTACATACAAAAATCACTCAATTTAACAAAGACATAAACAAATAAAATAGCCATTACCAAATAGTATTTAGAAGTGTTACAGGTACAGAAAGAACGGTGAGGCGTGTCTTTTATCGTACAAGATTGTTAATTACAATAAAATTCTACTCGCCTTAACCGAACTGCTAAATATAACCTTAAAAAGCAACTGTAAAACGCGACATTTCAAAATTTTACGATGAATTATTGAAACCGTGAAAATCACGAACCAGAAATAATTCCTTATTTAAATTTTATTAGAGTATCAGCGGCAATAAAAATATAATCATAAACAATTTAGTACCGACCCAGTTCGGTTGGGATAAATTAAAACGACACTTATCCGTATACCGGTAAGTAGGTACCTATATGTACACTGCACAGTGTCGGAGTGCAGTAACATACATTTCTGAGCGTGGAGCGATCGTAAACAAGCATCGTTATGGGGTCTATATTAGCAATACAATAGATTACAGCCTCCAACTAACTGCAAGTTGTTCTGACAAATGTTGAGTTAAACACATAAACTACAATCTCATGCATTATTTAAAGCTCAACTTGAAACTTATTCGTTTTACAAGTTCTCGCCTAGAATTGCAACATCAAAAAGTTTTTGTAACTAATGTAAAATATAAATATAGTTTAACGCATACGATAGTCGCCACCTAATTTAATGTACAAAAAATAGATTTGAATTACGAGTAGATACAAGAAAGGCTTCGATTAGCCCGTTGAGCGCATGCATGAACGAATGTGGCTAATTCGTTCATGAGCGCATGTTACCGCTTACCATTAGCCAATGTCAATAAATAGCGCATATCAAGCTCTAGTATTTTATTCAAGCGCAATAATCATATGATAAAAATCTACATAAAATGTACCTACTTGTTTTATGGCTACCATTCTACCACTCAAATTATATTAAGCAAGTCATTTGTACACAGAGTGAACTTGGAAAAAAAACGATAAAAAATCTTGTAACCAAATACAGGAAAATGTAAAAAAACGTTTACAATTAACGCGGAAATATGGAAAAAAGCCACGTCTGCAAAACATGATGATTAAGATGTATGAGTAATATGCTAATAGAGTGTCTCTTCTCAGGTATAACGTATCTGTCGGGCGAGAACTTCCTGGATGCGTTGGACAATGGCGCGGAACTGTGCCAGCTGGCTGCGGTCATCCACGAGCGTGCGAGGGAGGCGCTCGATCAGGGGTTAATTGTTGGGGTGAGTGTGAACGCTACTTCTACATTCAGAGTGTTAGATGGTTAAGGGTTATTTATATTAAGAAAGAATTATAAGCTTAATCATTTATTATACTTAAACTGTTCAAAAATTGATTTACCAGAAAAGTAATTTAGAAATATTTTCCCTAATAATTCAAGAAAAGTTTTTGTTATATATTGATTAAAGACAAAGTTTTCACATATTGTTACAAATTACAAAATTACAAAATCTCTTTCTTAATAATTATATACATTTTATGAAAATTTATGCATTGTAACCAAAATATATAAAATTGGAAAGTTTCATCTCATCCGTGTCCCTCCAGCCGGTACCAGCAATCCGCGGCCGCTGCTGGCAGCGCGCGGCGCGTCGTAGCTTCTTCTCGCGCGACAACGCGGAGAACTTCATCACATTCTGCCGCGAGCTCGGCGTCCACGAGAACTTGCTATTTGAAAGCGATGATTTGGGTAACCATTAACATCTATGCTTAATATGTAAAGAACAACTCGACAAAATCTTAGTATTTTTAAACCAAAATAACGTCTGCCTCGTGCTAGTTATAGTTTTGCAGGCAAGCGTAAATTTCAGTAAATTTTAAATTTTACCTAAAATGGTTATTGAGTCTAAAAATCATTGCTCCTTGAAGTCATAGTAGGTATATTTATTCGTACATAATATAAATTTCAGTACTACACAATCAGCCGCGCCAAGTTATTCTGTGCTTACTGGAAGTCGCACGTCTTGCCACCAAGTTCAATGTGGAGCCTCCGGGACTCGTCCAGCTTGAGAAGGAGATAGCGTTAGAGGAAAGGGACTCTGGTCTTGATTCCGCTATGTCCGGGGCTGGGTGGCAGTTCCGGGACAGCTCGCCCTCACCGACCAGGGAGAAGTAAGTTAAAAAATTATCCATTAGTAATTTTTTTTAGAACAGTTCATCACGGGACTAGAGTTTTTACTTTCCAAGCTTTTAAATTCATTTAAGAGTCTTTTATAATTTCCATAATGTATAAAAACTTTGATTATTCTCGAACTTAAGAATTTTTTGTTATAAGAACACATTAATTAACATATTCTTTTTTTTTTCAGATCTACCACAGAACCTTTGCCATCTTCACCAGAACCTAATGATGGTAATATATCGTTTTCTATTTTGTTATCAGTTGATTAATATTTTACATTAACGAAAGTATATGCAAAATTAGCTACATTAGAATAACATTTTTATTGTACAATGAGAAAGATAGACGAATAATAATTGTACTATTTGCAGCCCACGAGTCAGTGCCAGACAACGCGGACGCGGAGAGCACTAAGTCCGGGGCCAGCGACAGCAGCAGCGACACCGACGTGCCGCTCAGACCCACCAATGAGCTAGATAAGCGGGTATGTTATGTCAGAAAATTGTATTGGAACAATTTCAATAATGTATTTTAGGAGATAGAAGCCAAATACTGCATGTATTACATCACAGTTTATCCATTGGCAGGTAGGTAGAGAAAAGAGTGTCAAACCTATTTCGATGAACCTCTTTCGGTTCTTTTCTTCCATTTTCTTTAAACACGCTTGTTGTGTATAAATCGACAAAGTTTATTCTAACATTCAGTTTAAGCTCACATGCGTTCTCATAAAAACTTGAGCTCATGATTAGTGAATGTTAACTAAATAAAACTTATCCGCGATGATCCAAAATATATAGCTATATTAAATAAATACCGAGTTATTAATATTTATTGAATTATTATCGTATATTGTCATAGACTTTATATTATGTTCTGACAGCGACTGTGGGCTTTTATTTGGTAATTCCTTCTGGTGACTGCTAACAATGACCTTTACTGTCTGAAGTTCGCCTGTATATGTATTATTAATTTTCAAAATATCATATTCAGGTGCAGCTGGTGACCCGGCTGATGGAGCGCGGCTGCAACTGCGGCTCAGGGAAGTGTTCCAAACTCTTGAAGGTGAAGAAAGTTGGAGAAGGACGATACAACATCGCCGGCAGAAATGTCTTTATCAGGGTTTGTATTTATTACATTATACACATTAGGGAATATTTTTTACATTTAATAAAATTGTAAATAAGTCGAATCTGTAGGTACATTAAACATTTTTTGGTAAATCTAATTGGTACAGAGTTCGAATAAATAGTTTTTAGAATTTTTGTCTGTCTGTCTGTCTCTTACCGCAACGTGATGCGGTAACAGACAGACAGACTGTGTGTGACAGTCCGTGTGATCTGTCCCTAGGTTTTCTCGTGAGAAAACCACTGGACAGATTTTGATGAAATTTGGTATGACGATAGCTGGTTATCCGGGTCAACATATAGGATACTTTTTACCGCGAGAAAATATAATGTAAAACCTAAGAATTTGGTTTTTGGTCATCTGAATGCGGGCGGAGCCGCGGGCAATGCTAGTTGTTTAATAAAATTGTAAACTTATTATTTAAGGATACTAGCATTACCGGCGGCTTCGCCCGCGTTCAAACTACTAAACAAAACCAATTCTTTGGCTTTATGTTATAACCAATAATAATTTGATGACACACCAACTTCAGCGCCACCTACCGGGTCTTATTGTGTTTTGAAACCCATTGAAATATACACACAAAATTTCATTCAAATCGGTCCGGACGCTTAAGAGGAGTTAGGTAACAAACACACGTATAGAAGAATTATATATAAGGTATAGTAGCGGTAATTTTATTTCATTTACAGCTTCTAAAGGGCCGGCACATGATGGTGCGCGTGGGCGGCGGCTGGGACACGCTCGAGCACTTCCTCTCGCGCCACGAACCCTGTCAGGTGCGCCTCGTCACGCAGGGCCGCCGCGACGTGCTCCCCCTCCCCGCGCCCCCCGCGCCCTCCACCCCCGGGCCCCCCACGCCCGCCTCCCCCGCGCGCTCCCCCACCGCCTCGCCCTCGCCCGCCAGCAGCAAGCACTCGCTCGAGAAGGAGCCCTCCCCGCCTGCCACCTCCCCCTCCCCCGCCAGCAGTAAGACCTCCTTGACTAAGGAATCCTCTTTCGGCACCGTCTCGCCCGCAGACAGCAAAGCGTCTTCGATTAGCGGTAAAGCGTCTCCCGTGGACTCGAATCTTGGTACCAAAAAGAACGGCAAGACACCCTCCCCACTCGACGTCAGGCGCACCTCCACCCCGAAACCCGTTCCCGCTAAGAACCGATCCGCCCTAACTCTTCCCCTGAAAGACGAAAAGAAATCCCCCGCACGCACTCGAAAACAATCCGCACCCGCTAGCTTCAGCACGCCGAACACGCCCACCGGCAGGTCGAACCGGACGCCGACCGAGCTGCGCAAATCTCTCACTTCGAACGCCTTAGTCACCACGCCTAAGAAGTCTAGAAGTATGAGTCTCGCGGCGCAGAAGGATAACAAATTCTGCGGGACGGAGAGACTGAACCAGAGCAAGAAGCAGAGCAGGTCGGCCAGCCTGGCGGGCGTGGCGTCGCCGGGCGCGGCGGGCACGGCGGGCGCGCGCGCGCGGCGCGGCAGCGCGGCGGCGACGGGGGAGTCCCCGCGCGCGCTGCGCAAGAGCGCGTCCGCCGCCGCCGGCCTCACGCAGGCCGCCATCGAGGAGAGCATCCGCCTGTCGCTGGAGGCGAGCATCGCCGACCACACCTCGCCCAAGAAGCCTTTCCTCCACATCAAAGCCAAATACCGGAGTCCCCCGCCGCGGGAGGTGCCGCCCAGATAAGCCGCGCCGCCTCATTTCTCATTCCATTAGTTTTAAACTTTGATACTAATAAATATCGCCAGGTGGAGCGAAGCCTCCCGAGCCTCCTCCGAGCCGGCGACCTCGTTTCAATTATTACATTTAGTTTGGTATAAGCGACATTTAGATCTCTTATGTAATCTCACAGAAGGACGCTCCGCTGCGGCTCGCGGCTCCGGGGGACTAGTCATAATGAATTTCGTATAATTATTTAAAATTAATTCTAAGTATAATTGTGTAATTTAATTATCACTTTCCAATTGCAATAATTGATTAATTTATATTTTAATTATGTCGAGTAGTTTAGTTTCATTTATAAGGTAGTATAATTTATTTAAATGTATTCGTATGTTGGTAAGCCATTATTGTTTGTATTTTACTTTCCGAGGCACTCGCCCTCTGCTATCGACTCGTATATCTTATTTTGTCTTGAGACATCTCTTTTCTCTGTACGCGAAGTCTCTTGTATCGCTTTCACGCTATGTATCGAGTGTAGTCACCGCTAGTATAGTTAGCCAGTAGCGGACGGCTCCCGCGCCCGCCGCCCGCCGCCCGCCGCCCGCCGCCCGCGGTACTAACTATCAATATTGAATGTCCACACATCGTCTATTTTCGTACAATGAAAGGATATAAAATATTTTTGCACTTAGATAACAGACAGTAGCTAGACACAGATGTTATTCAGAGACTCGACATCGAGCAAGGAGGAGAAGCACTTCACTAAGTAATTATAAAAATGTTAATTCCATTTGAAACCGCCAATGTTCACCGAGCTACGGTAATTAGACTATATATAATTGATGGTATAATATTGTCTTCCCTCACCGTTAAGAGCTAAGAGTAACGTGATAACAGGTGACGTACAAACAAACATGCCGCCGATCTACTCGTATAATTGCAATATTGTGCCAACAGTTTTAACATTGTATATGGTTGAAATAAACTTTTTGATATTCATTGCATCCAGTTGTTTTAATCATACGTAATCGCTTCACCATTCACTTCACTCGATCAAAGTCATCCATAAGCCATGTCATTAGTTAAGCTAAAAGTAAACATTACTATACTTAGCTTTAAATAGAGCTTAGAAGAAAATATCACATAAACGCAAAAGTCACAACACTACTTACTTTTACAAAGTCATGAGAACAAGTTTGACTTTTTTCTAGTCGCGGCGGTTAGTCCTATGTCAATTAAGACAGCGTAACTATGTATATAGCACATATTATTAGTGACCCCAGAGTAAACGCAAACACAGATGTGCTCTATATTCCTTCACTCCCGCTAGCCGTCCGATGCGATATCAACGTCACGACTGTATTATCTGGTTAAATAACCAGTCACCAAAGAATGATCCCACAATTTTAAGAACCAAAAAAGAAATCAAATCCAGGACCAAAGGCCACTGTCTTATGTCAAATGTAAAATATTAAATATTTAGCGACCTGAATCGAATTGAGTCATAAAATGCTTATTCAATTAATATTATCCAAGATCTTTTGAATCTTCATTTTATTTTAAAAAAGTCAGTAGGTACAGTTAGTCACTAAAACGAATTTGTCTGGTTTAAATAGGCGAGAAATGGCACAGTTATAATCTTTAGATTTTTTAAATTGCAGTGCTTTCGATACGTGTGCTTTTTAATTTGATTACCTCTGAGAAGTGTTAAGATTGAAAATTCAATTTTAATAATACAGGATCAATCTTAATAGCCGCTATGTTACCTAGATTTTTATATCAGACTCGGTAGACAGCGACAGATAATACGCGTTGTTCGAATAACAGACAAAGTGAAGAACACAGTAATGTAACCACTATTATTTCTGTAGACTGCTTAGCACTGCCATATAAAGCATATGATGATATCATGAACAAGTTTGGGTGCTAAAATTATCTTGGTCTATTGCATCATGTACATACGAAGTTTAAATAATTGAATAATAGTATGTTGAATAGAGCCAAAAATGAAAATATTTTTTGGCCAGATTAATCAGATGAAGGACGCAATCTCGGAGAAATGCCCAATTAAGTTACGTACTTCATATTATATACGCAATCTAGGAACATTAAATATTGAAAACGAAATTTTTAACAAGAATTCTATTAAATAAATAAATTTTAGATGTACTTATATGTAAGTAGGTATGGTACCTAAAGTATGTGCAGGTGTTTGGTGTCTAAATAGGTGCCTATATAAAAATCAGTTTTAAATAACATGATATATAAAACTAAGTAAATTTAAAATTTGTCCGAGGAAGTTAAACTAAAAGGGTAATATTAGCGAGTAACGACTTGAGCGCCAAATAAGCCCTATTACTCTACGTCTATCTGTGTACAGTGTACCTACTAAATTACACCCAAATCCGTCCAGCAATTTAAGCGGGAACATACACTTACAAACATAATATTTGTTTATTTGCATTTATAATAGTGGCCCGATTCTTTGTTTTAAGAGTAAACAAAAAATAACAATAGGTACTTACCTTGCCAAAACGGCAAATAACCAACGCTGGTTTCTGCGCTTATTTCTATAGGATTTCAGATAAAAGTGTCAACTGCCCTAGCAGGAGGCGTTACGTGTATCATTTACTTGTCGATATCCCCCAGTGCCGCAGGACGAGTGTTCGAGCGCCGGCGTCGGTGCCAGTGCCGGTCCGCGCGTCGGTGACCCCCCACAAACGCCGCTACACTTACTACAACAAGATGTTCAAGCCCATCACATACACGCTGCCACAGCCGCTCAGGGTCTCTCTGGTTTAAGGGAAACTTAACATGGTTTTGCCAACATGTTCACTTAACGTCCGTTATACAAAAATAAATTATTATTTTTTAATTGTGTTTAATTTCTTATCTCATCTTAACGATCGAGGTCTCATATAAATCAGCTGAGACGGTGACGTTAAGAAATAAGAATAGACACTATTTAGTACAAATGTTTAACATCCATACAAAAAGATAAAGAAATTCATGGAAACATTCAAATTTAAATAAAACTCTTTACTGTTTAGTAGTTAGGTTCTCTATCTTCTATGTTGGTTAAAAATGACGAATTCTTATTATTAGGTGATTAATTCTTCTGTACGTGTGTTGGTCACTAACTCCTCCTACTATTAGTATTTCAATGGGTTCCTATATGATTTGAAAATACAAGTGGATCCGGTAGGTGGCGCTGCCACTGATCATGTCCTAAGCGGCAGGGACGATTTTGATGATATTTCTTGTGTATGTTCGAGTGGGTCCCTGCAATGTTTGAATTCACAAATGTATCCGGTAGGTGGCGCTGCAGTCGATGACTAAATTTTCATGAAAGACTCCATTTTCCAAGCAATAAATAAATTTAAATTGTTCATTAAATAAAATAAAAATTGGTGTGTGTATGTATGTTTCCTATGGACTCCAAAACAGCTCGAGCGATTTTGATGAAATTTTCAGGTAATCTTCAGATTAGCCCAGCGGGTGATTCTGTGAATTTTGTTAGCGATCGGAACTTAGGACGCGGGCGGAGCCGCGGGTACTGCTAGTTAAATATGTTATCTAACACAAGATATAATAATATTAATACACTAGGCGCGAGTAAACAATAGGAGGTGAAAAGCGTCTTATTTTGTGTGTCTTCTACTTATAGTTTAGTAGTAAATGCAAGCCTGTCTATTGCTCCATATCGGTGTAGATTACTCGTATACGAAAAATGATTGTAATTACATTTGGTCATTTTTTAGGTATGGGTACCTGCTACCTACCTATTCAGGTTCCTAATCCAAAAACAAAATACTTGCGTCCCTGGATATCGCGTACAAAAAAAATGTAAACATGTAAAAAGTATATATTGTATCGTAGACTTTTTTGTTAACTACTGAAGGTCTCATATGAAGGTCTAGACGCGCGGCAGTAGGACGAATATTATATTTTATATAAAAAAAAAATTACTTGAATTTTAGTATATATCTTTACATATAATAAAATTGTGTCAACCATGTACGTACATTAAATATTTTTGGAAAACTTATTGATAGTCATTATTATCAATAAGAGGCCGAATATAGTTTTTGGAATTTTTGTCTGTCTGTCGGTGACTGCATCACGGCAAAACCACTGAAAGATTTATATGAAATTTGGTACGATTATAGCTAGTTACCCGGGTCATCATATAGGATACTTTTTACTGCGAGAAAATATCTCATCTTTGAGAAATCTATACTAAACGTTAAAACGTAACGAGGGACGAACGGTTCGTCAAGAACCAAGTGGATGCGAGGGTAAGCCCCTAATAGATTATAAATTAGAAACCTTTGTTTTATTTCTGCAACCGTAATTATTTATTCATAGGTCTTTTAAAACATTACAAGCAAATATGAAATAACGATGTATGAATAAAACACTATTTATAATTTTATATTTATTTAAATATCTAAAAAATAATACAAATTATTCGTAATACTAAAGTACAAAATATAAACTCATAAGGAATGAATGAATAAATGCAAATAATATATTTCCACGCGCACTTGGACAAACACTTTCATACTAATTACATCACTCAATGTACAGAGGTTTTTTGACCGCATCAACTTCATTACATAGTAATTAAGCGTTTAGAAAAAACATTAAAAACTCTTATTAAAATTTCAATAAAATACAACCGATCTCACAAATAACTCTAAATTTAGGCATTTCTCAGTGATTATAAAAAGCTTTACAATACAGTTGTTCTGCAAATTCCAATTGTAAATATCATTACATTTCATACCATGAAAACCATTCAAAATACAAATTACGGCATGTAATCTTTTCTAATTTCATTTTGGCATTACAGAGTAAAACAAATACTCGCAGGTGTCGGCGCCAAAAACATTACATACATAAACTATTCAAACACAACTATATTTATATTTGAACACACAAACTATAACTAGCGATTGTCCGCAGGTTTATTCGAAAAATACAGGATTCGTTTAAGACATTTATTTTTACTCGAATTTTACATATTAATAAACTGTAATATATATGCACAATCGACCCCCCATAATGATATAAATACTTATCTATTTATTGCATATTTGAAGAATATCGATAATTTACAAGCATCTTATTAGTAATTGGAAACTTGACTATTACTATAGTGAGAGTATTATTACAAATTAAATACACTTAAAAATAAAAAAATGTTAACCTAATCTACGGGTTATATAAATAAATTTTGGTATAAAATGTTCATAGCATATGTATGGCTAAGTGCGAAAATAAAATAACTGTCTGTTTAAGACGAGAACCATTATTTCTTAGAAGGTGGTTTAATTTCAATTATAATATCATATTTGACTAAACAAAGATAGCAGTTTCTTTGACATTTGAGGAAACTAGCGCCATCTTTGTTTAGAGTAACTTTACAATCAACGGAAGTTGGTCAGCCCACGCGACTGAGCAATATCGACAAGTCGATAAACTCATTTCTAAAATAATATTTAGTTGTTATCTACATTTAAACAAACACATTAGTGTTATATTTATTTATATATTAAAAGCGAGTGTTCCCTAAGTTCATTGCATTCGTACGGAAAATTGCAAACCAGTTTATCTCCGGCAGACGGAGACGGCGGACGACGCGTGTCTCAACTATAAACAGAATTCAGACTTATAGGAATTGTTTAAAGGCTTTATTTCTATTTATTTCGTATTTAGATCATGAGTTGGAGACGTTTTGTTATATATCATTCAATCAATTATTTTTGCTACGATTTGGCACGCATATAACATACTGTATAATAATATTTTTACTAAAAATACATTACAGTAAACTATTTACCAATATCGAAACCACATAAAAAGTTACATAAACAAGACAGGAGAGCTGGCTCATTTTTTGCCCAAAGAATCGACATTGCCATTCCTCTCATGCCGGCTAGCATTACTGCCTCTATTCCACGCGGACATTACTTATGCAGTAATAATAAAAAAAAAACATAATTATACATACATAACAATACACTACATTTGTTTTGTATGTATGAAGTATATGTACATATTTGTTATTTTCTATTGTATATAAAACAAATGTATAAAAGCTCCACAATAAACAAAACGTCCCCTAGACATGACGTCCTCCGCACCTCCCTCCCTCTACTTCTTCTTGCTCTTGCCGAGCGTGAGCGTGTGGTGGCTCTGCTGGCTCTGCTGCTTGCGGCGGTTGAACTCGATGGTGTCGTCCTCTATCTTCTTGCGCAACTCCTCGAGACGCTTCTTCTCTTCTGTGTGGTCCTTCTTCAGTTTATCGAATTTCGCGTGAAGCTGTAATTTCAATAATATATGCTATTAGAAATAATGAAAAATATAACATTCAAATTACGATATTAAAAAAAACAATATTTGTAGTAAGTCATAATAATTTAGAGCACCAGTTTTAATATCGTTTTTTACATAATAACGATATTTAGTTTCTATATAATACATACAAAATGAATTTTTAATTAATTATAACACAAAACGAGCAAAAAGTAGCATACTTTGTAGAGTAATAATAAAAGACATATAATTGGAACAAACACCCTAACCTATACTAATCTGTACCTTGCCGTACGTACCGTTTAACGGATTTGGATGAATTTGGCACGAAGATAAATTATGGTTTGGAATAGCACATAGGCTACTTTTTATCCCGGAAAAATGTACGGTTCCCGTGGGATAATTTACTTTTGCTTTTTTAGAAGCGAACCCGAGCGAAGCGAAGCTGAGCAGCTATTCCTTAGCACAGATCATCATATAAACTATCAGATATCATAAGCTTATTGTTAAAAATATAAATACGATAGGTGATGTTATAGGATTCCATAGAGAGTATAAGGATTAAGTATTCCTGGCTAATATTTTTAATTAAATTTTCTTGTTAATTAATGGCTTTAAAGCGTGTGTGGCTAATATTTTTTTAAAAGTAAAAGGTAGCCTATGTAACTCTCCAGCCACTCTGTTTCGACGTGAAATAAGGACAAACAAACATAAGCACTTTCACATTTATAATGTTAATAAAGTATGGATTGCGTACCTCCTTCTCAGCCTCCTTGAGCTCGGCCTCCTTCTCCTTGACGCGCTGCACGAACATCTGGCGCATCTCGTCGTCCTTCTGCTGCAGCTCCAGCAGGTGCGCCGTGCGCTTCTGCTCGAACGTCTGCTGGAACGACACCTGGAACACGATCCAACTTCATTAGCTATTATAGTATTATAAGTTTTAATGAGTAATATATGTAGTTTATATTTTCATCTGTTCCTTTTCACTATTACTAAGCATTCAGCTTTTAAACCTTACAAACATGGGGTAATATTCCTCTAACCTTTATATTTTGAACATTATGGACTAAATCATTGTTATATGTAGTAAGTTTAATATATATTTATAATTATTAATTAGTATAATATGTCGAAAAAATATTAAAATAGTATAACATGTATATGATATGTATTGTTTTGTAGATTTTGCATAATACAAAATTTTCATTATTCTTCATTCAAAAAAATTATTACATGTGGTTAACTTACTTTTTCAAATATTACACTTCTTTTTAGACAACATCTTGAAATTAAAATTACATTTTCTAATGAACATATACCACCTACATTCTAAATATATTTTCAAGATTTTTAAATGGTATTTATAAATTTCCTATTTCACAATTCTGTACAACTTATTCATTGCTTATATATATATATATATAAAGTGCGCGTGTGGGTGTACTGACGGGCTTGTTGTCGGCGTCGACGTCGGAGAAGCCCATCTGCGCGAGGCGGCGGCGGCGGTACAGCTCGTAGTGGCGCGCGTGCGTCTTCTCGCGCATGTCCTCCATGTTGGTGCGGATCAGCATCTCGCGCAGCTTCACGAAGTCGCAGTGAGACTCGTTCTCCACTGCACATACACATGGCGTTATAATATAACCTTCGTTGAGGCATTCGTTGTTTATTCATTTTTAAATAAAGAGTTCCGAATTCCAGCTAGGAATTTTTAAATTCTATCTATATATTATTCTAAAAACTAGTACTCGATATTGATTATTACTTGTCTCTGATCAGAAAGATATCGTATGACATCGTACCCTGCACGGTGCCCCAGGGGTACTGGCGCGCGCGCACGGTCTTGTTGCCGATCTTGACGAAGTCGGTGCTGCCGACCACGGCGAAGGGGATGTGCGCGTTCATGCCGGCGTTGACCTCCGACACCGACTCGTCGTCCACCGGGAACTGGTAGATCTCCACGCCGTTCGACTGCAGCTCGAGCATTATTTTCGACTGGAAATGTTTTTTGGAATGAATATTAAATCTATACAGATAAATAAAATTGAAGTTTCTGTTTGTAATGTCTAAAAGGGGTAATCTTTTTACTAAATTTATATGGAATTATATACGGTATTTATAAGAAAAACACAAATTTAAATTATTTGTCTGTTTGTTCTGGCTAATCTCCGAAACGGCTGGGCCGATTTGGACTAGACTTTCACTGGCAGGTAGGTGATGTTATAAGAAGTAACTTAAGCTACTTTTATTTCGGTAAATGAATTAGGGTTATGCTCAAAAAAATCAAAATGTACCCAAGGACGAACACAAGCGAGGGTGAGTCGCTAGTTATGAATATGAATACAAATAATGCTATATGTATTGCTAACAACATACTATGTATATATTCTTTATTGCACAAAATACTATGTACTGCTAGAGATGCCTATATACAGATGAGGGCTTGGGTTCGAATTCCGAGTTAGGTCAAGTATTTCTTTTTATAGCTTAAACCACTGAAAGTGAACCAATCTGGTAAATTAAGTCATAAATAGGTAAATTTTACTTTTTAAGAGTACATCTTTATAAGATATAAAACCAATTAAAATAGTTAACATAAACCTTAATATGGAATTTCATATAACAAATACAATTAAAAACTAAATAATATAACTTCGGTGTAAATCAAAAGCTTGTACCTTAAACTTTTGCAACTCAGTCTTGGAAATGGTATCAGCCTTGGCGATGATGGGGATGATGTTCACCTTGGTGTCCAATTTCTTCATACATACTAGATCGATAGATTTTAGACCATGTCCTGAAAATATATTTGACTTATTGCGGTGTGATAAGTCCAGTGTATACTGTTAATCCAAATAGTAATTTATTATTATCGTTGTTTTTAAATAACATTTTCGTTCGGATTTTTTCGCGGATTTATTTTGATTTTTTTTTCCGACACAGTTTCCAATGCTTATTTAAAATGACTAATATTCACGTAAATCTAAGAAAGTATTACTTATGAGTTATGACCCTACTAATATTATAAACGCGAAAGTTTGTAAGAATGTATGGATGTATGTTTGTTACTGTTTCACGCCAGAACGGCTGAACGGATCTGGATGAAATTTGGCACAAAGATAGATTATATTCTGGAATTCAAATTCAAAATATTTTATTCAGCATTAAATTATTATAATTTTTTACCGAACGTCATGAGTCTACTACCAGTTCGGAAAGAAGAATCCTCAGACCTGAGAAGAACTGGCGAAAGAAACTCAGCGGGACTAATATTAACTCGTTATCTTTTTTTAAAGTAAAATGATATAACACATAGGCTACTCTTTATCCCGGAAAAATATACGGTTCCCGAAGGATAGATTTGTTTTTGTTTTTCTAGAGGCGAACCCGAGCGAAGCGAGGGTGAGCCACTAGTTGTTGTTATAAAACTCATTGGAATGTATAATTTATTTACAAACATCGCATTCATATAGGTTACTTACAACACACTACAGAATGTGTAAATATTCACTAAGTTATATTTAACTAGCATTGACCGCGGCTCCGCCCGCGTTCAGATGACCAAATACCAAATTCTTAGGTTTTACATATTAGTATACTCTTACAATGCTGTTTTTGTATTTTTTCTCAGAAATGAGATAGTTTTCCGCGGTAAAAAGTTCTATATGTTGACCCGGATAACCAGCTATCACCATACCAAATTCCATCAAAATCCCTCCAGTGGTTTTTCTGTGATGCGGTAACAGACAGACACACAGACAAAAATTCTAAAAACTATAGATTCGGTCTCAGTATCGATAATAATGTCTATTTCAATAAGATTTTCTAAAAAATATTTAATGTACAGATTCGGCTTAGTTACAATTTTATTATATGTATAGATATAGATAAGTGCTATTGACAACGTAAAAATAATATAAAAAACATTTAAAATATTTGAATATCGCATATATTACACACATCAATCATACTAATCACAAATACGACAATTTGTGGGCGAGCGTTGTAACGATTTCAAGGGCTTTTAGTAAAATTTTGGTAATCAGGTATTTTTTTTACTAAACGAGCAGAACCACGAGTGAAAACAAGACGTGAAATAAAATGAGAAATAAAAATATTTCTTTCAAGTTTACTAAAAAAAATTATAGTATATTAGTGGGTCGACCACGGATAGCTCGGGTTCACCTCTAGAAAAACAAAAACAACTGTATCCCACGGGAACTGTACATTTTTCCAGGATAAAAAGTAGCCAAATTTCTTCCAGATCCGTTCAGCCGTTCTGGCGTGAATGTGATTGAGTAACAAACATCCATCTAAACTTTTACCTTTAGTAAGATTAGTTATTTCTGTAACATGTACTTTTTGTACATTACAGATACCTACAATTTAGTAAGCTGTGTGAAATTTGCTACATAAATGTAAAGCACACTCTATGTATTTACATAAAAACCACCTACAGTGATTAAGCAATATCTCAAGATAGTTTAATTTTAAGAAGTAGCCAATGTCATTTGTCCGTTAAAATATTTCTATTAGATATATTTTCGTCTGTCACTGCGTGCTGCGAACTGGGTTGACTTCGCTTAATGAACCATTGGCATACGCCTTGAACCATATTAAAAGAAAACATGCAACTATGACGCACGAGCTTATTATACTTTAACATTATTACATAAAATGAATTCCGATGAAAAAATATGCACGTTTTAAAAACCCCTACAAGTGATTTTATGTATACAATAGATACATATACCAATGTCGAAGACGCAAACGTGTCGGCTCGCGAGACGTGTTCAATCACGCGGAAAACAAGGCATCTTTGAATACATTAAAAGAAGTTTTTGCAACATGTATCCATATTTCATAAATATCGATTGAAGTTTAAATTGAATAATCAATGTAGGTTAAACTAAGTCAGTGGAAGCGAAGCGAAGCCCCGGGCTGAGTGAGGGCGCGGCTGGTAGCGGATATTTAATATCCCGCGGGATTTTATATGATAAAATTTATTCATCGTTTCATTTTGCATATAGATGATACATTTTAATACTATTTATATTTTAACGCACATTATACTGATTTAGCAATAGCAACATAAATATTCAAATTCATTTATATTATTTTTGACGTAAGTAAATTATCAAAAGGGACGATTAATTACATTCTCGGCGCCATTGCATTATACATACGTTATCTTTCCTTAGAATAGCGAGCAGTGTGGCGAAGGAGCGCTCTACATTTCTAAAGTAAAAGTATGATGCACCGTTACTGAACAATCGTAAAGATTTACACACGTATTGAGTTCAATAAATAATATTATAGGGAACGATATTTCGAAGCAATGAATTTTTGACTAAAATGGACTTGTAATAGTTTTAAGGGGCTTGAATAAACATGAAAGTTTATATTGTTTTTATTTTCTCTTTAAGCGTACATGCGTTACGTACAACGATATGTACAAGGAAGGAGTTGGTTAAACAAAGATTTTATTTTTTGCATGTTACAAATCAAAAAAAAAAGAAAATTCTTTACAAGAATACTAACTTGACTGAATAATTGAAAACGAGCACAGTAAATGCTAACCACGTGTATAGCCCGCGTATGCCTCGTGCACCATTAGTATGTCGCGCGCGCTCTGAATACGCGAATGCGTTAGATGCATGTATCATTATGATCGAATGTCAAGGACAGTCATAAAATATACCATTAGTTGGCGGCGGCCCGATGGACTAGAAAGTCAGTATCGCTTCCTATTTGGAAACTGGTCATTGGGTCAACAAATGCGAACACTTACACACATACAATATAATAAACAACTTTGTGTTGAAAGGAAAAATAAAATATAAGTTGATGACATGTAACATGTCGAACACAGACACCATGTAACAGTATGATCAATAACAACAAAAGGTATGATGTGCTGCTTTTCCATTTTTATAAGGATTAATTTTATATATTTTTATATGAAACTCTATGCCTGTGCCTGATAGACAACAATATGTGTATTTAGCCCGAAGTTCACAAAAGCAGTTGGCTTAGTCTCAGTGAGATTAGCCGAAATCGGTCGGGAGGACATTATTAAGCTGTCATTGAATGTAGTTCACCAATTTTGTTATGAAAACCTAATAATGAGTGGTCTAAAATATATGTATGCACCTTATTTCATTTTGATATAGACAATATTTTAATATTTTAAATAAAATATTATTTTACTTTATAATAATTGAACTTACCAGTAGGACAAATGAAGTACAAGCAGACGTGCAGGCGGCTGTCATGATATGTAGGCAAGGCTCTCTTGATCTTAAGTTCTTCTTGTAAAAACGCTTCAAACTGTGCATCAATGTAATCCACTACAGCTTTAAAACTGTCCTCCTTGTTCACTTGATCACCATAACCCACCGTGTCACAAATTGTCAGCTACAAATAAACAGTCAAAGGCAAAGTGTATGGATGTACATACAATAATTTACAAATCTTTCATTGTAATTGGAACAATAGTTTACTAATACATGTTCAAAATTGAAGCGTCTGTTTGTAATACCAAAATAACAGCTTTTTACTAAATGCCTATTAAATTATATACAGTACTTATAAGAAAACACATTTTATTTATTTTTGTCCATCAGTTTATTTCGGCTAATCTTCGAAATACGAAAAAATCTCAGAAAAACGATTCATTTTCACGGGACTGTTACTGAAAGATAGCTGTTGTTATAAGGAGTAGCTACTTTTATTTTAGAAAAAGAATTAGGGTTCCTCTCAAATAAAATTAAAACACACTTAGGGATACACCCAAGTGAGGATAAGTCATTAGTGATGGTATATAATCTGATAAATTAAGATTTTAGTTTTAACCTGAGGTATTATAGGAATGGTATATACTTCCAATAAAAAGTAACCCTAAGTTTATTCTATTTGTTACGTTACATTTATTATATCTTATTTATACCTGTTAAATTTAACAATGTGGAGAAATAAAAAACATGCTCCTTCGCTCTCTGAATGTTACATAAATTATAATATTGTGATAATGAAAATTTTGCTCATTTTTTTCACTCCAGTCACATTAAATCAATCTAATTATATTTTATTTAAATAGAATTTTAGAAGCACTTTTATTCAAAAATGAATTTTCACATTAAAATTTAAATTAAATGCTAAGTCCATCGAAAACAAATACTGGTAGTATTGATGAAGAAAAATTACCTTTAGTCTTACATTACTCTCTTGTAGTTCATATGTATGTGCTTTCAACTTAACAGTAGGCAAGTTATGTGGGCTGGGTGTAGATTCAAAGTTTGTATTGAACAGCGAGTCCATGAGAGTTGATTTTCCCAGGCCAGTTTCTCCTGTTAAAGGTAATATAGGATTGTTAAACACTTTCTATGATAGCTCTTTGGTATCATAATATATTATTATTACTGTTATTGTAATTCAATAACATAAAAATATAAATTCAATGATTGCATATTATTAAAAATGGTCATTTTTTGTTTATCCTCATAGATAAAACGGACTTAATATATAGAAATAATTATGGTACAAGGAAATTGAATCATTAACTTGTGTTTGTTTACTATGTTAACTGTACTGTATGTGGTACTTAATCATCTAAAAGCAAATATTTAAAAGTACTAGGCACAAACTAGCAGTGTCGCAATAATAGTGTTTTAGATAAGTGTACATGTAAGCGACTGATTAATAATAATGATTCATTTTATTCTTACCAATACACAGGATATTAAAAACGAATCCATTTTGCACACTTTTGTTCACAAGTTGATCTGGTAGGCTGTCGAAACCGACGTGCCCTGACAACTTGAGCGTACGCATCGCTGTCTCGATCTAAATTAAACATCACAAACCGACATTATGAAGAATTATGTTTTACCATTTTTTTACAATTACTACTTGTTACTGCAGTTGTTACAAACAAGTTTGTTTGTTTATTCAATGTTTGCTAAAGGCATTTCTGCTGTCCTGTTTCAATTGCATTAAATACTTGAACAATTAAATATAAACACAGTAATCCAATGGAGAACGCCCAGACGGTAAACTTTATATTATTCATAGTATAAACTGTATTAATAAAAACGTTTAACAAATAGGGCATTTAAGTTTTCTAAACTAAAAACAACTATCAAAATTAGCTTTAAGAGTTGAAACTAGATTTTTTTTTATTTAAATCTTACTTTAGTTGGCTCAACTTCAATGGCCGCCATGATTCCTTGACAATCTGTGACTAACACTGAATGAAGTTAGTTCGCATTACAAATACAATGCATTCGATCTGTGAACAACCAACTTCAAGTGACAATGTAGGTAACTTAATAAACAAATTATTGAACATTATAATTAATTAAATATTGTTATTATTCAGTGATAAAATAATATGGAATATTAAATAATAAAATATTTCTTTGAATTTAATAGTATATTTGAGAAATATACGTGTAGTTAAAGTTCTTGAGTTGGTCTCACTGATATAACATTATTGCTATATTTCAGTTTTACCCCATTTTATGGAGTATAGTGAAATAAATGAATAAAATTAAGCACACCTTTACTAAAAGTATTCATTTTAAATTTTCATAAAACCTACAAATAACCTTTTTAATGTATAAGCACTTAATATATTTACCCTTTGTAAGTTGTTATAAATTGTTGATTAATAATTAAGTAATGTTCCATACCTATTTATATAAACTAATTACTTAGCAATCTGTTGTAATTATAGAGTAAAAACATTTATTAAATGTAATTTATTAATTAGTTATTGATTAGTGGTAAGGCAAATTCACATTTATTAAATATAGCAACACCAACGAATCCCAAAATGGCAGAAAGCGACATTGGTGCGTTATCATGTGAGCCGATGAAATGATGTTTTCTTAAATTTTTTCGTCGCGAGTGAATTTTAAAATTGTGTGTCAGTGAATTGTGACAAAGTGAACCATGGCGGATCTAAAATCGCCGCCGTTTAGTGACATTAAAAGACCTGAGGAAGTCGTGAGGATGACGACTAACGATAGTCTCAAATTTGCAGTTCTTATCGGGCTGATAGAAGTCGGACAGGTAACCAACCGGGAGGTGGTGAACACTGTTCTACACCTGGTAAGTATAGAGGAGTATTCTTATTTTATTGCATAATAAAAAATAAGCACAGAATCCCTTGTAATCTTATTGGATTCGTCTTAGAAAGGTTGTTATATGTCGAAGTTGTAGTATAGTTTAACCAATATTGTGGAGCTTCAAAGATATAAACCCTAGAATTAAGTCATACTTTAATTAATAGATTATATACAGCTTAATGTGGTCAGAATGTCGCGTCTATTTTCATTGTTTTTATCGATCGCGTTAGGTCTTGAATCGTAGGATCGCGCCGTCCTCGCTGACACCAGCGGCCGGCGAGTGCTGTTTGTTTTGATCACTAAATTAGAATTTGATGGAGTTGTCTTTTACATAAATTAAATTTAATCACCGATCTTAGTCAATAGAAATCTTAGTTAATAAAAACATTATACGCCTAGAACGTTAATATTGAAATTTTACAGTAAATATTTACATTTGACGGAATGTGTCACTGAACAAGAAATGTATACGTCGATTGCAATAGTTCGATGTAAAATAAACATTTTAAGTCACTCAGTTACACAATACTTAGGTTTCTCTTAAGTTTTAACAGCTCAAGAGCTAGATGATGTATATTTGACGTATATTTATTTATTTTACAATTATATAGCTGTTAATGTTTCTATTATTAAACGATTTAAAAAATATCCAATAACTTAGTAATTTAATTATTCTAAATAATATTTTAGCCTTTTAACTGCTGGACACAGAACTTCTTTTCATGTTAAAATTATTTTTATCCCAACTGTATCTTTATTAAAACTCTCACTTTTCGTAATATCTCATTATATTAACTTGTTTCGAACAAGTGTACCAACTATTGAAAGTGATTTTTCTATGTCTATTTAGAATGCAAAAAAAGTAAATGCTGTTAAAGTGTCATAAAGACTGTTTTAGTAGTTTAAAATCTTGTAATGGAGTTTTTCACTATTTTACATAACCTTCACCGTCAGTTGCTCTAATTGAAAATATTTATTTCTCGTGTAATATTCTAAAAATTACATAGTTTTTTCGACACCTCCAGGTAAATTTCTAAGAAATTAATTACAATTCTAAAAAATCTATTGTTAACTGACACGCCGGCGTGTCCGCGGTCGTGGAGGGATTAAATATATTTAACATTAAAGGATGTTCATCGCAAAATATAAAATCCATTGTCATGTGCAGTCCAATATGAATTGGTTACGTAATGGTCGTACGCTATTGTTGTCGCATCTTAAGGAATTTTCTGTCGTCGTTTTTACTATTGTTTGTAGTTTTATCGTGAGAGAATAAGAAATAAAGTTTGCAACGTATCTGGACCGCAAACTAAAGTGTTAAAGCTGATAAGATTCTTTAATATTGATTATAAATTTGATAAGCTGTTGAATGCGCGTGAAAAATTATGAGTAAAATGCTTTTAATTAAAAGCGTGAGCAAACTAGTCGCCTGGTCACGAAATACTTACTTTTAGTTTTACACTAATATTTAAGACTAGCGGCTCACTCTCGCTTCGCTCGGGTTCATCTCTAGAAAAGCACAAATAGATCTATCCCACGGGAACCGTTATTTTTCTGGGATGAGAAGTAACCTGTTGTTTGATCGGCAATATAAGGAGGCATCAGCATGCCAAATTTTACTAAATTAGGTGCATAAGTTGTTGTGTACCAAGTTGTATAAGTTACTATAGTTTTTCAACTATCCCACGGGAACTCTATAATTTTGCGGGATGAAAAGTATCTAAGATGTTGCCCGGTAATATAAGGTACCATCATGCAAAATTTCATCTAAATCGATCCAATAGATTCGGAGATTAGCCCGTACAGACAGAGAAACAAAAAAATTGAAAAAATCTAAATTTGTTTTGTCTTCTTACATCCCCCTGACTTGGTTATTAGCATTTTTTTTCTATGTACAGACATTCGACCTCTATAGTTTTATTATAGTATAGATGATTTACTTATGTATGTAAAGGTGTATCAGTGTATAGGTACGATATCGTATATTAATAAATATACAAAAAATGTGAGACTATATTACCTATTGACTGTGTTCAGTCACAGTGTTCTACACTTGGGGGACAGTATTACTCGTCAAAGTCGATGGCTTACTAGTTTCGTCATGTTCAGTGTACTTATTTAATAATTTAGAATCGGTAGGACTTTCTAAAGGTTTCACAATTACACTTCGATCCAACTATGTAGTATATTTATCGATATAAAATTGGAAGTAGCTTAGAACAATTTTTATTATGATTGCTGATTGTTGAAATATGATTGTGATTTTTTATGTGTTTCATGTTTGCCGGAGTACATTCAAAACGATCTCTGACGTAAAAAGTATAATTATTCATAACTAACAAATTATATGCAGCGATAAGATTTTAAATAAAATATGCACGCAAATGGAAAATGCGTGACAAGTGTAGAAAAATCCAAAATAGGAAACCTTAAATTATAATTAGTAAGTAAAAATTGTAGTCTTTTAAATATATGTAGATTTATCCGACTAAAAAATACAATTTCATATATCAGAGAGGAAAAATATTACAAACAGCTAAAATATACGTTACTTGTACCTTGATTTTTTAACAAAAACCAAAGTCCAATAATGACAATGCAAAAATATTTTTCTATTTCCAATGTATCTAACTATATTTTCACTCTTTGTTTGTAGATTGCGAATTTATTTTTCCGAAGTAGAATTTTTATTCAATTTTTTCAACATCATATTTTAATCAGGCCCAGAAATATCGATATGATTTAAATATTGATATTGAATACTGATTTCTGAAAGGCAGCGTGGGCACAATGCCGCATGCAAGATTGCGAAGAATGATAAAGGAAAAAAATAATGATTTTCATGTAGAAATTATTATGTTTATAATATATAGCATTGCCCGCGGCTCCGCTCGCGTTCAGATGACCAGAAAGCAAATTCTTAGGTTTTACATATCAGTATACTCTTACATTGCAGATTTTGTATTTTTTCTCAAAAATGAGACATTTTCCTGCGGTAAAAAGTATCCTATATGTTACCCGGATAACCAGCTATTGCCATACCAAATTTCATCAATAGCCCTCCAGTGGTTTTTCTGTGATGCGACAGACAGTAACAGACAGACAGACAAAAATTCTAAAAACAATAGATTCGGCCTCTGTATCGATAATAATTTTTATTTCAATAGGATTTTCCAAAAAAATATTTAATGTACAGATTCGGTTTGGTTACAATTGGGATGTATGAAGCGACAGACACTTCGTTCGACATCGTGGAGTTACAAACCAACATTGCGGAAGATCCGACTTGTCGTTAGATAACAGTTATGTGGACTTCTCGTATATACTACAACAGCGGTTCCCAATTTTTTTTGGCAACGGGACCCTAATTAATCAATATTTTTATCGGATCCCCATTTTGATAATAAGTACTAAACTAATTTTGTTGTAGTTAGAATACTTTCTTGTTTGATTTAAAAGAACAAATCATAAATGAAAAATATTAATACTTTTAATAATATTTATTGTATAGCAAAAGTTTTAGAAACAATCTTCAGTTAACTCGACTGGGATGAATTCGGCTTAAACATAGATGGAAGTCGTCTGAATCATCTGCAGTTTGCAGATGATATCGTTCTACTGGAAGAGGACCCAAAGAAGTTGAAATGGATGATTAAAGACCTAGCCAAAAAAGTAAGAGGTAGGGTTATTAATGAACGAAACAAAAACCAAGTTAATGACTAACTCAGATAAGACGAAATAGTTATCAATGGAGAAAGTTTTGCGTCTACCTACGATAAATAATAAGCCTTGATGACCAGATAACAAAAGGAATTGATTAAAGGATTACTTTTATTGCGGCTGGAAGAAATACATTAAGAGATCATGAAAAGCACGGAAATAAATCTGTACATCAAAAAAAATCCTTTGATACATAAATAAATAAATAAATATGTTAGGATATTAACACACAACATCATCTATAATAGTTCCATAGTAAGCTACGAGGCTTGTGTTATGGATACTAGATAGTTGATACATTATACATATATAACTTTAAATACATACATATTATAAATATAAACACCCATGACTCACATGACTCACTGACCCATGTACAAACATTCGTGTTCACCACACAAATGAATGCCGCCAGCGGGACTCGAACCCGCGACCGCTGGCGCAGCAAGTAGGGTCACTACAAACTGAGCCAAACGTGTCGTCAAATACGTGCATCCTATCTTGTCTAACATATGGATGTGAGAAAGTTTCCCTGACAAAGAATCATAAGAAGAAACAAGAGAAATGTCAGCGAGCAATAGAGCGTAGTAGTTGGGTACAAAGTGGAAAGACAAAATACAAAAAAATACCATCAGATAGATCAAAAACCCAAGTAGCCAACATAACGTTACGTATCGACCAATTAAGATGTAGATGGACAGATCACCTATTGAGATCCAGCACATCTAAATGGAGTAAAAGAGTGATGTACAGGTATCCCAGAAACGGCAAGCGTAGAAGAGGTCGTCAAAAAAGAACATTCTAGACAAGAGTGGCTCTAGATAGGTCTCAATGGCGACAGTTGGAGGAGGCCTTTGCACACAGAGATCAGAGACATTATCCAGAATTTCAATTTACCAACTATTTCTAATTATAATATTTATAATGTACTCTCTGAATAAAGGTTATTTTTTTATTTTAATAATTATTGTACCAAAAATATAACCTATTTAATGTGATGAATGATTTTTTTTTTACATATTTATATATAAAATAGCACTAAAATTAGGCTTCGTGTATGACAACGGGGGCACCGAGACAATGTCTGACAACGTTTTATTTAAGGGGGCACCGAGGCAATTACGAAATAATTGCGTTCGTTTGGTCCCTTGCTGTATTGTTATTACTAAAACTTTAATTATGCAATCAATATGTAGGATATTTAAGAATTTATTCTATAAATCATACACTAGAAACACGATTACTTGTAGTTTCCTCGATAGAAAAAAAAAATCAAAAATGATCTCTAAAAAACAAAATAAACCCTTAGTGCGGCGCAAATAATTCAAGGAAGTTCATCAGATTTTTAATAATAACAAAACTATACGTTTTCTATAACGTATACACTTAACATTTTCAAAATGTGTATTTGTTTTAATAATACGAAGGAAATACCTAAATTCGCACGCGTCCCGTCCATCCTAACCACCACCATATAGCTACATACATACACACTTAATGTCATTAGTTATGTTAAAAATATATTATGTAAATTGTACATATACGATCATTATATATTGTATTGTAGTATGAT